CCCCCCCCCCCCCTTCCTTCCCTGCTGTTCACTGTGCCATACTTTAGTACTGCCACAAATCGCGGACAAACACATGCTCTCCGCTGTTGTATGGGTTTGTTTGATGGCACTCTCCACCTCTTCTTTTGAGGGCTTGATGAAGTGGAGTACCCTCAGAGATCAAAAGACAGAAACAAGAAAATACGACGTACTCGTAAGGAAGATGAGAATCGGGAAGATGCGATAGTCAAAAGGAACAAGAAATGCGGCAACTTGGGCCGGTACTTCGACCCAAAATAAGGGATTGAGGCTCGACCCGATTTTGACGTTCCTTAACTGCGGGCGCCATCTGCACTCGTGTAAAGATTCCCTTTGGGTCGATGTTTCAACGTTGAAGGGGTGCAGCGATACCTTTTCTTATCTTTCTCCTCATGCTATTTAGACTAGATCCTTCTCCAACGTCTCCTTTGGCTTGTAGACTAAGGCATAGCCTTTCTTTGCTGGCGGCACGAACGCGTTGTACGCGCGACATTGGCTTCACTGCAACGATCTAGGACACGAAGCGCGTCACACCTAGAGTAGTTTGGACCAAGCTCCATGTTTTCAAGCACGCGGTATTTCACCCTGCGGATGGTGGTCGCTGCCCATCGACGTACATAACTGTCGCAGGACGACGGAGGATGAAGGCTAAAGCAAACCGTGGACGACATGGAATTTAAGAACAAAGGATAGTGAGAAGGAGTGATCAAATCGAGTGAAAAATGAAAAGTGGAAGTAACGCGCGGGCTCGATGAACGGATATGGTGATTGTTCCCAAGGCATGAAGGGCATGGGACTCACAGAAAACATAGATTGATGTCGCCGATTCAGGGAGGAAGCAGAGGTCGGCTGTGAAGGGTCGGTCGAATACATGGTACTAACACTGCGAGGAACGTTGGGAACATGGTGACAAGGGCATTCCTTGTAGAACGGACGGCCTTTCACAGCACCGTATGATAGAGCTGTGTACAGGGAAGGACGTTGCCCTGATCAGCCACCATGTGAATCGAATCAAGGCGGCACGTTCTGTTCAACGTGGTGTGGATAGTGTTCTTCCCGCCACGCCGTAGTCTACTAAGCTGGCTATCATGCCCATGTTCAAATCCGTAAAGTCGATTGATTTTATTATTTGTACAGCGTAATGTGATGCATTTTCTCTTTCTCAGCCCCCCCTCTCTAACGCTCAAAGACTTTCCCCGCTCGAAATCAAGCACCTCATGCTCAACACGCCGGCCAAGCGTTGTCCAAGTCAGGCTGGTGTTTCCTTGTGTCCCGCCGGCGCGAAAGGATTCAGTCCTTCATATAATACATCGGTCGCCCGGTGGTCTAGTGGGTAGCCTCGTAGCCTGCTAAGGGCCAGATCATGGGTTCGAGTCCCGACAGAGTGAGTTTTTTCTCGCTAATTCAATCCTGGTCTCCGTTGGAAGCAATGTGCTGCAAAGCTCGTTGTTTGTAAACTTGGATCAACTTCATAAGTCGCGAGGGAAGGGATTGCTGTGCCCTTCTCGCGATAAAAATATCTCAGGCAGGAACCGCAGGAGGGGGTCCAACCCCCCCCTCCTACGTGACCCCGGTTAAGTCGTATAGCTGGTAGAAGTGGAGGAAAGGGGCCAGCAGGGCAGACGGCAGAATCCAATGATGGGAGAAAAACAAAAACAAACAAAAAAACATACTCTGCAGGACGACCCGAGGCCAACCTGTTGAGGCGTGCCCCCCTACTTTCTCCGGTTCTTCACGATTTTCTCTGAGAAAGAGGCGGCGAAACCTGGGTACCGCAACTACCAACTCGTTTCGCAATGCTGAGCACGACTGCAATGCTGTTCGCCCCGCATCCCATCTCGTTGAGGTCTCGTCAGTGGTATATCGGCCTCATCAACTTCTCACATGCCCCGGAACCCTGACATCCCCCTCTTGCCCTTACAGCAGTACTAGCAACCCTTGGCCTCTAAATACCGAGAAAGGCATCCATCCGTGCCTTATCGTCTACGGGAAGTGTCGTTGCCGATGCACGCTCCCCTGTTGGGTGTTGATCTAATTGTTGCGAATCCACGCAGACACATGATCGTGGTTTCCGTGAGCCAGTCGTAAACACTCTTCTCTAGACCAGGGGCATCTATTGTTTCTTGCCCACTGAAGCACCTCTAGGTGTCCTCCCGAGGACGCTCGAGAACACGTCGTCTCATCCCAGGGGCATCCGTTGCTTCTTGCCCAGTGAAGCACCTCAAGGTGCCCGTTGAAAGCCGCGTAGGAACACGTGCTCTCGTCCCAGGGGCATCCGTTCTTTCTTGCCCATTGCAGGACCTCAAGATGTCCGTTGAAAGCCGCGTAAGTGCACGCGCTCTCGTCCCAGGGACATCCATTGCTTCTTGCCCATTGAAGCACATCGAGATGCCCGTTCTCAGCAGCGTTTGTACACGTGAACCTGTCCCAGGGACACCCGTTGCTTCGCGCCCATTGCAGGAGAGTAAGGTGGCCACCAGCAGCTGCTCCATAGCACGTCGTCTCGTCCCAGGGGCATCCGTTGTTTCTTGCCCATTGAAGGACCTCAAGATGTCCGTTCCAAACCGCTCCATGGCACGTGTACTTGTTCCAGGGGCATCCGTTGTTTCTTGCCCATTGGAGAACCTCAAGGTGCCCGAAAAATGCCGCGTTTGAGCACGTCGCCTCATCCCAAGGGCATTTTTGTTTTCTTGCCCATTGAAGCACCTCGATATGTCCGCTGTTGGCTGCTTTCTCGCATAGCTGCTCATCTCCCACGTGCACGTACCAGTCCGGATGTCTGAAGTTCGAAGAGAGGCGGCACAGCCAGCAATGATGAGACGGTTGACCGGTCACACGTTAGGTGGACACATTCACTTCAATATCGACCTCAAACGCACGCCTCGTCAATAGAAAACTCTGCGCAACCCATGCATCTGTATTGCACACGACTGGTACATTCTTCAATCTGCGAATGGCTATGTTGTCCACGTAGATGATTGATAGAGAGCTACCAGCAGAAGGGAGCCGCCCCGATTTACCACGTGAACGGTGCTGTTGAAAACTCTTACCCTGACGCAAGCAGAAACACTTCAATCTTCGCCGCGACTTCCTCTCTCCGTCTTCTCGCCTCATCGGCCTCCTGAGGTACAAGTGCAGCAGTACAACACGAAGCGAACGGGCGGGCTTAGTCAGAACGAAATGTCGAGCCACCTGTCTGACTGAACTACTTTCAAGGAGATGCACGGGAGAAAAGTGGACCCAACACGGTCCATCCCATACCCCGAAAATCCATGCGACCCAACGAAACGTCGAGACGTCGGTTTGGCGCCCCCCTCTACCGGATCGTGGTCAATGTTTAACGTTCTTGCGGATGCGGATGCGGATGCGGATGGGTGTGGTGGCGCAGATCGGATCGCGTTCGATGCACGATCGAGTGAAAGCGGACGAACATTATCGTTGACCAGCGAAGCTGTGGGGGGCAGCGGAGATGTACTCACCACTCTCTCTGATTCCTCTTCTCTCTTGGCCGCCTCCTTGGCTTTGAAAAGGGCGAGTTCGGCTTTGAGTTCCGCCACTGTTGCTTGTGCGGCCACGAGGTCTGCCGACTGAGAAACAGGAAGCGGGAGTAGCGTGTGGACCAGAGAAGGAAAATGGAGTTGCTGAAAGGACTGGGGTAAGGGGGGTTGATAGAAGGACTGGGGGTAAATATTCACGAAGACGGAGACGCCCCTTGACGCTAATTCCTTAACCGAAACAAGCGCCCAGGAGCGCAACTTGTTCGACTTTGGAATTTACAACAGTGCCTCGGGTACACGTGGCGAATTAGCCGGGACATTCTCTCTGCTTGAGGGAAACGCACGGTGGATTGCCACAATACAGGAGAAGATGTGGGAACTGAATCTGCTACCGAATCGAGCGGCATACCTGGGGTCGGCGGAGCAGCATGAACAACATGGATATTTTTACGAAGCATCATATTTCGTGCATTGAAACCGCTGAATGTTGTTGTGCGCCAAGATGATTTTTTCAAGGTGACCAGTACACTTGCAGATCAATTTTTATTCTGAGGCAACAGTAGACTATGCATATACTACAAGAAAGATTACTTCAAGTTCATCTAAATGACCATCAAACTCGCAAGCAGAAATATATGTCGACAGAATACAAGCCAGGAGATCAACGTAGTAAATGCACTTGGAAAAAGTCGCTGCTCCGTAATACGGTGTGCCTGTAGCAAGGTGTTGTCGGTGTTAGTGTTGACTTGCGACGTGACGGTGTCGTTAGGAACGTGTGCTCTCTTATGGTTTGGACACACCACCCCGCATACGTTTCTGTAATCGCCCCGACTGTCGATCCTGGTCTTGCTCCGGGAGAACTCCTCAGACTGGATCTACCATCCATCGCGAAACCGATTTCTAGTGAACGGTATTATCGACCTTCGGGGCGTCTGCCCCATTTCATCACGGTACTTGGTATAGCGAAGACGCACGACAAACGGCGCACGTATCAGTCTGGCTGCTCTCTCTCTTTGGGGCATCGGTTTTCCCAATTGAACACTCCAGAAGCAAGCGACGCATGCATCCGCCCTTCTGCTCCGATACATGTTGCCCAACACCATCCCGATGCTGAGCTGGAACTTGGGGTCTATAGCGCGGCGTCTCTTAAGGGTCATCCGGCTTGTCATTGAATACCCCAGATGACATTGTCCGGGGCCACGACTGCTTTCTAGACAACAGCACACTAGCACTAATTTTGATACACCGTTGACCGCATACGTCGAGCACTCTGCAGCATGTTCCGACCACAGGAGGGCGGTGTGAAATCGACAAGGAGGAGCCGTTGTGGGGTAGGAATGGACCTTCTGACCACCTCAACACGTTGCTTTCGAATACAAACCAACCCTGCAACCGTGGCGCGTGTAGTTGCTACAATCGGGCATGGGCTTTCGATGCGGAACTTTGGTTTCTTTCGTTGCGTCCAGCTCTCACAACCGTCCAACTTCTGGAACCGTTACGCCTGCTCTTGGTGACACCAATTAAACCTCAGGTTGGTTCGGGTGCAAGGATAGCTCCGTTCGATGCACTAGGTACTTGGGAAGTTACGCAAAGCCATGCATATCGATAAATCTAGACATCTTTTCTCGTTCGGCTTGTGTATTTGGGGGCTTGTTTTGCAGGGAGTCATTATCTTTCCGTGGGGTGGTGGTCCCGTGTGACTACAAATGACGGAATGACCGGAGGAAAGATGAACTACAGACACGCGTGATAGGATTGAGGATACTCAGTTGGTTTGACAGCCAATAGGAATCGTCAGCAAACGACGATTTCCTACAAGTTCGTGTGAAACATATGTACGCAACAAGGCCGCTCCTCGTGACAAGCCAGGATGACTCTACAGCGTGAGGTTCTAGGACGTCGGCTTGCTTCTGGCTTGCTCCCGCGTAGGCGAGTTTTCGTGTCGCCGTTGCGTCCTCTTCCCTGGAAGCGTCTATCTTTGCTGGAAAGCTTTCGGCTTCCTCTTTGGTCAATTTGACACTCGTTGCGTGTATATGACGGTCTACTGCATTTTCGTCGAGTAGAAGTTCTACCTGCGCCATTTCCGCCAACCTGCTGGAAAAGATATGTGCTCGATATCCCTACGGTATGTTACCAAGCGCCCTCGATTTCCAGGAATCAAGGACGTTGAAACGCATCGGAAGACGGTGACGCATAGTCCGCACGAGCGCAGTTGGTCCTTGGGGATCGCACCGCTCGGTTGAGAAGGACATTGGTTTTCGATGGAGGAAACGCTATGTAGGCAAACAGGAACTTTGAAGCGATCACGCACGTTTTGATTAGCGGGTGCCCGTTTTTCATGGCAGGAACCCAACAACGCAGATGGGCATGTGGATAGAGGACTCTCGCAGAACAACCTCGCGCAAGCCGCCCCCTCATGTTACGTCTATGCCGTGAAGAGAATGGTTGTGAACGGTAATCTTCCAGGTTGAAGAATGAGGGAAAAGCCTTCGGGAATTCAGTCCCGAATGGCTCTTCGGCGTGTGAGCACCCTCAAGGCGCCGAGTCAACTCACCAATCTCTCGTTGTCCACTCCTCTTTTCTTTGTTGCGGTCGCCGCCTCTTTACTTGCAGCTGCCGCTTCTGCCGCCGCTCGTGCTATTTTCGCAACGGCCTTTCTCCACTGGGGCCAAACACGACAGTTTGCGGTAAGCGTGAGAGGTAGAGTACACTGTCGTGTGCCGTTTGTTTTTCGCTGTATTTTAAAGCCGCTCAATTTCTTGGAAGGTTTTTCGAACAACTTCGTGTGGGTCGATTTCAAGGTTGACAGGTCAGTACGACTGCTTCCCGCCTTGGTTGGCACATCCGCCCCTTCGTCGGCGCCCCTCAACCCTATTGCGAAATGGTGCTCGAATCACTGTGAGAACAACACGCGAGTCAGATGTCACTAAATCCGTGGCACGTACGTGGTACGTGGCATGGACTCTCTTGAGTGGGGTTGTTTGCCCGTTCAGATTTGTTGTGAAGCAAGCATGCACATCTCGGCAAAAACCAAACTGAGATACGCAAGCTACCATTGCTGGTGTACCGTTGCAACTCACCACTTTCAGTACCACCCACAAATAGAAAAGTAGTCGGACCAGCAGCATTGGCTTCATGACTATCTCGGTCCTGGGCGTCTGAAGAATGACAGAGGGTAGAACGCCCGAGCACGGCAACAGTTGTAAGTAGAACGATAAGACGTAATTGGTTCACCATTCATCACGATTGCTTCCCTTGCAGCGGCTTCACGTTCGTAAACGAGTGAGGCTATGAGAAACGCTCCGATAAATCGTGGCCCTATTTTAACGCACGATGTGTTCCTAAATTCTGAATGAAAAGATCGAGAAAGTACCCCCCTTTCGATAGCCTTAACGGTTCGGTTACAGAAAGGTGTCCTGTTGACAGTGACACCCTTAGACAGCAGCATGATGGGATCGCCGCCGAAGGCGCTCACCTGAGAAGAGCGGGATACGGCCAATATTGCAGCAGGCAGAACTGCAATCGCGGACAGCATGCCCCACACTCTTACGAACGACCGTCTGGGGTCGTTCGCAGTAGCAACAGCCGCAGCTGGTGGATCGTTCGGTTGCTGTGGTTGTAGCTGCTGCTGAAGCCGTTGCTGCTGCGGGTCCGTCATGCCTGTTTGCGTGAAAGAATTGTCGATGTGCGTCGAAGGCAGTGTTGCAGCGCATGGGCAGGGGGCGCACGAGAAGCATTGTGTTGGTACACAGAAGGAGGAAAAGCCAGGAAACCGGGCTAGCAATGGTATTGGACAAAACCTTATGTAAAGTACGAGGAGTAGGAACAGCCCAACAATATCTAATCTCGATGTAGTTAACCGCCCGCGCCAACATCGTTCCGTTATATCTACGCTGATGTCGCCCAATAGGTGGGCCGCCCATTGAGTTTGGTCCACGGGCCTTCCGAGGACTCGAACTAGTCAGACAACCCATGAGCCAAACACGGCCGTCGATTGCCCATGTTTTGCCCATGGGCCGTAATGTATCGCCATTGACCCGGATGGAGGACATCGGCAGATAGACAAACATTGCTGAAACTCTAGCGGGAGCTATCCCACATGCAATGTATTGGCAAAAAGGGGGGATTTGTTTTTCGACGGCGAATGTTGCATGTCGGAAGCTTTCAAATATATATTTTCCTCGTGTTGCGTGCTCATGTCGACAACTAGAATCTCTCAGCACGGACTACACGGGGAAAAACACGAGTACCTCTCAGCAGGCATTTAGTCATTGTTCGCGGGTAGAGTGATTCCCAGTCCTTCGAAAATTCGATCTCCAGACGGTTTTCCGAAACGTACGTACTACTTAACGATTAACTCTCCGCCGCCCAACGAGGCTGGCGGCCGTCAATGTCATGGATGATTCGACGAAGAACTACGGAAAGTTTGAGGTGGAGACAGGTGGTTGGAGCTCCCTTGGAGTTCACGAATTTGGGGGAGATGTCGTCGTTCGGTTAACCAATAGCGACGGTATGAGAAGAAGTAGTCTTGACCTGCCTTCCAAGTCATATCGTATCAACCCTCATCCCTGGCCGCTGTTGTTGTGAATGTTGAGGATTCGAGCCCAGCAAAGCGGCCGGTGTGCCGCCTACTCATTGCAACCGTCGATCGGCTCCATCAACCCCCACGCTCCTACAGCTGCGTTCGCCTCGTCTTCACAGAGAGAGCTTCACGCTGACAGCGATTTGATCGTAAGCCATTGCACGCCAACACCACGTGGTAGTCGTATTGTAGCCGAAATGCGGGGCACCGCCCCGCCCGATTGATCTGGCCCAGGGACCACCACGCTACACCTCAAGAATACACAACCGGATTGACACCACCCTACAGTAGGTCAACGCTCTGACTAGCTCCTCCCGATGGCAATGCAAGATTTGGGGATGGTCGTGGAAGAAGAAAAGGTAGCACATGACAACCTCGAACGAACCCGATGCGTAGATTACATAGTCGAGTCCATAGAATGCAGCCGTTGGAAACGTGATATTGACCAAGCCGACGACAGGTGTGACGAGTCGGGTACGCCGCCAGGGTGACAGGGCGCGGATCTCCAATGTTCGCAACACGCACAGAGGTGAGCATTGGTACAGTACAGCGGGGAGATGCAACAACATGTTTGGGGCCCCTCGACCATTGGGTCTCGAGGGGGGAGGAATCCTTCGTGCCCGCCCTCTCGAACCATGACTTTCAGCAGCGCTTGTGGAGGTTCTAGCACCCCAAGCACCGGAAAATGTGCACACGCAACACAGCAGTGTTTACAGTAGTGGCTACGATTTAAGGAGGAGTTTTTAAGAGCAGGTACGTGTTCGTGAGTCTGCGAACATTGCTGTTGGATACATGTGCTGGATGATTTTGTGTCACGCAGACTGGTAAGATAACCGTTTGATAGGGGGCACCGCGATGATTCACGGGGCCCCTCCTTGCTGTGGGAGCCGCTCTTTGAGCACTCCCTCTTTCGTCCGTGTGAAGGACGGTCGTCTACCTCCCGTGAAGTTAATACATCACCAAAACAGTCTCACCCGATAAATAAGTGGCGTAGGCCGCAAACACTCTAGAGTTT